TAAGAAAAGAATTAATCAATTAATCTTGTTTCAGAAAATGTTATAAAATATTATATGAATTAGACAGGAATATAATTATATAGAATTTACAGTGTGAATACAACATAATTTAGTGTATATTCCTGATTTGACAAGCTGACCACAACTAAAAATTGTGTATACATCATAAACCTGTTTTGGATTTCCTAATACAACATTACTAAACAATTTACCAATTTATTCTAAAAGTTTCAAGCTAAAAAGTTGTACAGCTATTCTTACTATACTTCTTTTACAATGACAAAATAAATTTTGATTAGAAATATAGGTTGTTTAATTGTTAGTTGAGATGTTAGGTACACCACATATGAACCTTGCTTTTTAGCTATGTACCTTCAAATCGGCCAACATGTTTTATGCAATACTTTGCACCAAAAACATTATCACATGGCTCTGGTGCAATATCTATATCACTAGATAACCATTCATTACATTGAAATGGCTTATTTGGATCACTCCCCGAACACTGATAACAATCTAGGGAAAGAGCTAAACAGAAATAAAATATATTATTAAGATCAAAACATTTTATTGGTATAAATTTTATTTGAAAAAATTTAACTTGATTTTTCCCATTCAAATATGTAAAAACATATTTTTAAGGCAATTAATTATTTATATTTCAACTTTTCCATTAAGTATTTCTGACTAAATATGATCACATTTTTTCTAATTGTTTAGCTTTGTTTTGTATTACACTCTCTTCCATTAGAACATATTACTTTTCTGGTTCCTGTTCTAACCATCTTCTTAACTAAGTTACTAAATAACAATGATTTTTGTATCTATTAAAGAATGTTTCAAATTCCCACCATTTATCTTACTTAGTTACTACTTTTATAGTCCTTAATGCATTAATTTCTTTTTTTCAGTTTCTCTACAGATATAAAAAAATACATGTAGGTACTAACTCACATTAAACAACAGTAATTAGGACATTAAACAATTTTCAACAAATAAAACACCTTGTAGCCTATACACTGATATCTAATTTTTCTTTTTAAAAGTTAAAAAAGATAATTAACTGTTTTACTAAAAATTAAGTTAATTATACAGCATTTGATATATTTCTTGATAGAAAGAATTCATCTCATCATTAGACTATGATTCATTATCAAATAAAGCAGGTACTTACACAATTGAACAAAAACACTAAAAATTATAAAACACAATGTAATATTTTGGTAAAACATGTTTGAAAGTAATTTACGGGGAATATTTTGAAGTAATATTTATTTTTGAAAATTTTCTACAAAAATAATATTTGTAAACAACTGTTGAGACATAACCAACAATTTAATCAACTATGAATTTAATTAGCCACACCTGTCTACTGTCATCTTATTGACCACACCTGACAGTTGACTAATAGAATTTAAAAATTGCCGCTAATTAATACAATTTTATTTTCCTAGGATATCCTTTACCTTTACAGTAATAAGAAGTATTTTATGTTAAATAAGTTTAATCCTTCTATTCCACAGCGTTTCTAATTAAAACCATTTTTTTTGTAATTTGATTTGTACCTCGTATTTTTTTTTGGTTTTTTTATTATATTGTATCATCAACCATATTTTTTCTGTGCCATGCTTTTCAAATGCTTCACTGTCTGATGTTTTTTTTTATGATTCCTAATTGTTATATTCAATTTGTAAATGCATAGTATTATAGCATAGTTTTTATGGCACAAGATTACAACGGTCTTTGTACAGGACTGTTAAGAGCAGATTAAATATAAATATCTGTACTTCCTTTACTCAGTTTTGTACAAGAATTTGTAACAATACTACCACTACAATATTCCTGTAATAAAAATCGTAGAAAGGATACAGAAGAAAAAAAAAAGCAGTCGACACAGAAAGTCTTAGGGAGACACGAAGGAAGGGAAGATTAATAAAATATTAATAAAGTATTGAGAAAGTACCAAACAGATTACAACGGTTGTCGAGGAAAATAGAAGTAAGGGTGCTGAAGAGAAGTTAAACTCCAGGTAAGAAGAATATTATTAAGCTAACAGAAAGAAATGGACAGATAATAACATTTAAAGAGAAGATAAAGAAGTTTTTATGCCGGCTCGAAAATTATTTAACGTATATATTCTACATTTTGATATACATACTCGAAATAAGCATAGAAATATTCGATTATGTCTTGCATGTTTAGAAGGCTTAAGTTTAATTTTCCGATATTGAAATTTAACATTTACCTGTTGCAAATACTTTAACTTGGCCAACGAAAACAAAGATGGGCATGTACCTTATATGGAATATTATACTGTCCCTATGATGGAATATTCCATATTAGGTACACTTAATTTTTGAGGATTTTAAGAAGTAAATCTACATAGGATTTCTTTTCTGTTAATAAATACTGTCTAAATTAATTATTAATATTTTTTAGAGTAATACCATGGGTTGTAAAAAATGGAGAAAAGAAAATATGGTTCATGCCATCCAAGCTGTGCGAAGTCAGGAGACGGGATACAAAAAAGCCGCAGGTATTTTCAATGTTCCACGCATTACAATATTTCGCCTATCAGCTAAGACGAATGCTACACCAGTCCAGGTTGTTGAAACAAAATTAGGAAGTACCATCTTCCCAAGTTCTTCTCAAGTAGGTAGGATCTGTAGTCCTACCACAAAACTTAGAAAATCAGATGGTAGACTATCTACTTTTAATGGAAAAAAAGTTTTACGGGTTAACAAGAAATGATGTTAAAAGTATAACTTATCAACTGGCTACTGGTAATCAAATACCCAATCCATTTTCAAAATAAAAGGAAAGTGCCAGAAGAAAATGGTTGAATTTATTCCTGAAACGACACAAGGATAGAATTTCTGTCAGAAAGCCAACTGGAACGTCCATCCATAGAGCCAGAGGCTTTAATAAGGAAAACATGACATATTTCTTTGATATTTTGGAGGCAGCATTTGAAAATCATAATTATTCAGCTGATAGAGTATTCAACGTGGATGAGACTGGATTAAGTATTGTTCAGTCTAAAGTCCAATACGTTTTTGCGCTTAGAGGTTCGAAGCAGGTAGGAGCATTAACTTTTGTTGCAGAAAGAGGTTCTTTAGTCACAGCAGTCTTGTGTATGAGTGCCGGAGGAACTTTTGTTCCACCATATCTGATTTTCCCCAGAAAAAAACCACAATGTTTTATTGGAAAAGAGTGCTCCTCCTGGTTCAAAAATTGTGTGTCATCCAAGTGGTACCTACATTTTATTGAAAAAGTGAAACCATCACCAAACGATCCAGTGTTGCTAGTGTTAGACGGACACCATACACATTGTCGAAATTTAAAAATTATAAATTTGGCAAGGGAGAATTTGGTTGACATATTGTGCTTGCCCCCTCATTCTACACACCACATGAAACCCTTAGATAAAACGTTAATGGGACCTTTAAAAACCCGATATAGTGAGATGTTGAGATTATTTTTAAGGTCAAATCAAAGACCAATTACACATTATGACATTGCTGAACTATTTGGAAAGGCGTATCTTAAAGTGCAAACTGGGACACTTGCCGTCAATGGCTTCAGAAAGACCGGAATATTTTCTATAAATCGCCATGTCTTTAACGAAAGCGATTTCGTTGCTGCAAAAAAAGAAAATACTCAAAAAAAAAACAAGTACAGAACAGTAGTTGAAAATATAGCCAATAGTGAAGATGAAAATGAATTTGTTGGGCCCGAAAATAGTACAAATGGTGCCAACCTTTCAAAAACACACAGGACCTCGAAGAGATAGGGCACCTGGAAAAGCAGCGATTATTATCTCGCCTCCATACAAAAACGATTTAGAAACTTCAATAAATTCTTCTTCAAAACAAGCCAAAACCGTAAAGCGGAAAGTACGAATGGAATCATTAGATAACCAACAATCATCTTGTAGTTACCGGCATCTACGTAAGACGAAGAAGAAGACCATATTTCAAGATTCCTCTTCAGAATCCCAATCAGTAATTTTCAAAGACGATTCTTCCGATGATGATGACATGATAGATATTGCAGCAGACAATCCTAAAGAAGAAGGTGTTACTTGTTTCTATTACAATGGAAAATTTTTGGAAGACAGAAAAGGAGAGAAGTGGATACAGTGCGTTGTCTGCAAAGAGTGGTGCCATATAGATTCCGTATGTAAAACTGATATCTTTATTTGTGAGATTTGCAAATACCCAATGTCATTTTCATCTTCTTGAGTACAGTACTGAGATATCACCGCTTCTATGGTATCTTCTAAGAATTGTACATTCGTAACATAAGGAGATGTCGAAGTAATAGCGATTATATCTTTTGGATAGGTTCAGCATTCTCATAAACGCTATTGAATGACCTAAAAATAATGTTATTATAAAGATAAAAACTGAGAGCAAGGCAAAAATACTCTTATAAGAATATTACAAAACAAAAAAGATTTGGACAAAGTAGAAACCGATGTAGTTATCCTTTAAATTTTTATGCTTTGCAGTTGCTGTGTCACTTGGTTTTTTCCATTTGTACTAAAATCTTGATGTTGCAAACTAAATATAGATTTTAAAAACTTTTCCAAAGTTGCAGCTTGCTATAAGCTGCATTGGCATATAAGCTTCAACTCAGCGGATCGAAGATATGATATGTACTATCTGACACTTCAACCTGTTCTGCCTAATTCTCAACTTACCTCAAATATTTTTTTCCAAATTGGAACAATTTTGTTTAAAAGTTGTCTAAAATCGTTTGGTCTATGAATTTTGGTAGATAATATTACGGTATTCAACATTTGTAGCAATGCAACATGTATCTGCTGCATGTCCATTTCTTTGACTCACTCTGTATTTTCAAGTTATTTTTTTACACCGAATTTCCAATAACCAATAAGAAGACTTATTTCAAGTATGAAAGAGTAGAGGAAGGGTACCAAAAAAAGCACAGTGGGAAGGGCTACTCGGAATAGGAATAAATACAAATAACTGAGTATCTATTGACTAATAATTTTATTTTTATTAGGATCTTAAACAAAAATAATTTATTACATCTAGTTCATAATTCAGTCGTTTTATATAAACCACAATTAAAATAATATTCATGCTATATAACAATAATAGAGCATATAAAAATCAGGTAACCCAAGTTGCAAATTATATAAATTTTATTCAGTGGAAAAACTTAAGTTACTGTCCCGCCTTTCCTTGTTCAACAGCTTCGTTACCCTAAAAAAGAACAAAAGGGCATTTCCATATTTAAAATGAGGTATATACTCGCAGCCGTTTTCTAATATGACATCCATGGAGCCCAATGCCCGTATCCTTAGTGATGGTTTATGTTTGGTAGAATAAAAATGTCGATTCCTAATGACTTTTGGATTCGGTCGACATCCATGAGATATCTTCCATCGGTTAGTTTTATATATTTTTAACATACGTATATTTCCTATTATCCTCACAGCGATTGTATTAACTACAAAAGAAAAACAAAATTCGTCAATAGTTTACATGTTTGTAGATATATTAGTAATAACAAGAATTTATTCTTAAATAATTTTTAAAACGACTTTAGGTTTGTATATACAAAAAAATACTATACAAACTTGGGAGAAATACATCAAGGACTTATTCGCAGATGATAGGGAAGAAATAAATGATACATTACCAACTAATGAAAATCTAAAAATTCTGATATCAGAGGTTAAACAGGTAATTAAAATCTCTAAAAGTGGTAAAGCACCAGGTCCCGATGAAATTCCTGTAGAGATATTAAAAATCCTGAATGATGAAAATATAGAGTGTCTAACTAAATTATTTAATAAAATATACCACGATGGTCAAAATATTCATATAAAATATTCATATGTTATATAGATTTCCAAAAAGCTTTTGATAGAGTTCAACATGGTAAACTCATACATGCATTGAAACACATACACCTAGATCCCAAGGATATTAATTTAATCAAAAATCTGTACTACAATCAAACAGCGGTTGTACGGGTGGAAGATAGTGAGACAAACCAGGTGGAAATTCAAAGAGGAGTCAGACAGGGATGTGTGCTGTCGACACAATTATTTAATGTGTACTCCCAACTAATATTTCAGGAGGCACTATGGGAAAGAACTGAAGGTGTAAGGATTGGAGGGAGCATCATTAATAACATAAGGTTTGCAGACGATACCGCAATCATGTTAGAGAATATAAACGATTTACAAACTCCCCTGAAAATCATTAACAGAGAAAGCAAAAAGATGGGACTAACAATGAATATAAATAAAACCAAATACATGGTGATCTCAAAAAACCCTGTTGACAATATACAACTGACATTGGAGGGTAAAACCCCTAGAGAGAGTCGACAAATATAAATACCTCGGAGCAATTATAAACTCACAGTTAGATCAAGAGCAGGAGATAAAGGTCAGAATAGAAATAGCTCGAAAAGGCTTTATAAAATACAAGTCAATGTTTACTAATAAGAAATTGAGTATGGCCATCAGATTGAGGTTCGTCGAATGTTATGTTTGGTCGCAACTACTATATGGGGTAGAAGCTTGGACTCCGAAAGCCCAATCTATAAAAAAATTGGAGGCATTCGAAATGTGGCTATATAGGCGTATTTTGAAGATTCCTGCAAAAGTCTCAAATGAGGAAGTGTTAAGACGAGTTGGACATGGCAGAAAGCTTACGAACACAATTAAAATACGAAAAACATCGTATCTGGGCCACATACTCCGAAACGATAAATACTCTCTGCTACAACTCATCATGCAAGGTAGAGTACAGGGAAGAAAAGGCTTGGGAAGAAAGAAGAAATATTGGCGGAGGAATATCAGAGATTGGACTAACCTCAGTGTTGAACAAATATTTCACGTTGCAAAAGATCGAGAAGCGTTTAAAGAAGTGATCGCCAACCTTCGTTAGAAGACGGCACAAGAAGAAGAAGATACAAAAAAATAAAGTATGTTTTCTAATAATTAAAGAAAATAAGTCCCCTGGTCTGGTCCAGATAAAATACGCAAAGATATTCATACGCTTCTAAGGAGGACTATATAGATCCTTTGCAATAACTTTTTGACTCTATCTACCAGAATGGATATATACCTACCTTATAACTTGCTTAATTCCATATTTATACCTTTACTTAAGAAGACAAGCAAAGTGATATGAGGATTACAGAATTATGAGTTTTATGACGAGTTAAAGGTATTTCTATATATTATCCACGAAATAATTTATCCTATTTTAGAACGGCATCTTGACGAATTTCAGTTTGCCTTTAGGAACGGCTTTGGTATAAGACAGTCACTGTTTACCATATAGCTACTGATGCAAAGAGTTAGGGATGTGAACAGTAACGTTTCCGCTTGTTTCTAGGACTTTGACAGAGAAAACCACAAAAAACTCATAGATATCTTTAAACCAGCGGGAATATGATCTTAGAATCCTCGTCAATTTATTTGAGCAACAAAAAGGTAAAGTTAAAATGGAAAACAAGTATTCTAAACAATTTAGCATGCTACAAGGAGTTTGTCAGGGATATGATTTGTCGCCGATGTTATTCAACATTTACTCTAAGAGAAGCTCTTTTGAGAAGAAAGTCTTTAGATTAGCTTTGGAGGACATTAAAGATATAATATCAATTTACGGGATTTCCATAGAGGAAAGCGTGGAGAAAAGTGAGAGACTAAATGAGTGCATAGAGAACAAATTAGCTATAAAACAAACAATAATAAATATTTTAATGGGATTCTCCTGAAATTTTCGTAAATTTATATACTATATATACCTACTTTCTAATATACTGAGTAATTTTATGTAGTTGTTCAACGAAAGCCGCCATTATAGCAGTAACTGAAGTCTCGATCAGGTTTTGGATATAATGCACAGCCTCTTCATCTCCCAGATCTAGCCTCAATTTGTCTTGAACTTTACGAACAGCCTTGTCGGGCTCTAGAGCTATATCCGGTACACTTGCGTCCACCATTAGGGAGAATAAATTGAGCATCAAGTTTGCGTGCCTAAAAATAAATCGGTAATTATATAGTAAAAGGGTATGCGTTAAAAAGGAGAAATTTTTATACTATCTAAAATATTTGTTATTTTTATTTAATACTAAAATTTATGCAAATTCGAAAACAATATGAAGAATATGTTTTGTAGAGAATGAGGATCGCTTTTAAAGGATGGAACAAATGACAAAATTCCTCTTTAATATTGTTCGATCATTTATTAAGAAATAATTACTAACACATATTGGATTTATCGACTAAGAAAAAGCTTTTGACTAAGTTAAGCAGAGTATGGGACACTTGGACGAGACAGTGTAACGCCTCTGTCGGTAAGCGTTGAATCTGCATTACCGGACGAAAATGAACCTTAGCCAAGATCTGAACCATTTATCAACTGTCCATTTTTCTTCTTTTCCTTATCTAATGTCAACTGTCAATTGATCTTCGTCTGTCAACTGTCAATTCTTCTTCTTTTCCGTAGCTAATGTCATAACGAAGCCATCGACCAATGGGAGCAAAGTCCCGTCTACAACAAAGTCTCGTCAACCGACGCCACATACGATTATGGATGATAATAATAAATGTACAAGGTGTTGAAGAAGAAGGCCTTATAACATACGAAACATCAAATGAAACGACGCGGGGCATATGACATAAGCATATATGCGACAGACATATTTTGCTGTTTAACGATTTTAGACTGTGACACGTACGGAAACCGTAACGAGCTGCATACTATATTTTATCTACGACGAACAAGTAATTTATTTTTTAAAGTTGTTATTGTATTTCCGGTCTCCGGTAAGAATATATGTCATAAACGGTTCTTTGGCACTAATCTTGTTGAATCAATGGAGAAATACTTGCAATTCCTAGTAATGAAACCAAGAAGTTTAGATGCCTTTATTGAAATAGAAGAAACATAATTCAGTAGCTGATTATTAATAGTATAGCTTGTTCCAATTTTATTGACTTTACGAGAAAATCTTATAAAACAACATTTTTTTACATTTAAGTGGAGTTTGTTCTGATTGCACCAATTTTGTAGTCGATCTAACTCATCTTGTAGCAAGGCTTGATCTTTTAAACTATCTATAACTTTCCAAAATTTAATGTCATCTGCCAACATCTGCCGACATTTGCTATTTAGGAAACAGGAAGTGATGTAGTTAACAAATATATAAAAAGAAGTGGAGAAGTGTGGCCTCCTTGAGGAACTCCAGATGTTACTGTGATACTGTCAGACAGATGAGAACCTATCTTGACTCTTTGACTTCTCCCACATGTATAGTTTTTAATCCATTCAACAAACCTGACATGAAAGCCTACATTAATTAAATTGCCCAAAATTATTTGGTGATCTACACGACCAAACGCTTTAAAAAAAGCTGTGTATATTGAATCTACCTGTTAATGGTCTTCCATATGAGATAATACATCAGATTGATAGCAAACCAAGTTTGTTGCAGTGGATTTTTGCTATGAAAACCATGTTGTGATTGAGATATTAAGCCTTTACATAACCAAGAAAGTTGCTTTGCTGTAAGACTGTCGAAGAGCTTGGGCATTGCAGATTGCATACAAACGCTACGATAATTTTCAGTATTGTCTTTCTGACTATTTTTAAACATAGGAACAACATAACTTTCTTTCCATGAAGAAGGAAACATAGAGGTTTCCAGAGATCTATTAAACAATATAACAAATGGTATTACAAGGGTACAGGCACTTTTTTAATAAAAAATTAGGCACTCCAACCAGACCAGCAGTAAGCTTATTGGGCAGCTCATCAATGCCATTAAAAATATCGGTCATGGTATTCTTAGAAGGACAAATATTTGTACTAAAGTTGCTGTTTAATAGATGGATAGGTATGTAAAGATTGTTGTTATTTGGTGAATACACAGTTTGGAGGAAGTTCATAAATAAAGTAGCTATGTCTTGATCATTTGTTGCAGATTGGACTTGATAAAACAAAGAGTTAAGTAGATCATGACTAGATCGCTTATCATTGATGTACTTCCAAAATGATTTTGGATCATTTCTTAGGCCAGTATCTATACCTTCAATATAGTTGCTGAAGCAAATTTCAGACAGTTGTTTACATTCAGGTATATTTTGTCTCCAGAGTCAGTCTTCTAAGATCAGCAAAGGTTACCCTAGACATATAATAGCAGCAATAAAAAGGCTACGATCCCACTGCAAGACGACTACGTAGATAACAGATGGTTGCCAATCAAAAAGTGGCCCCAAATAGTTTTAACTCAATTAATGGTAATTATTTTTGAACAAAAATTTTAAATAGTTAATTTATTTTTTAAATAAAATACTCTGCTTATAATATATATGCATCTTTTTAATATCAAATTATTGCTAATTTTTTAAATATGATGATATCAAGGTCGCCTGGGAAAAATGGTCGCAAATTAGGGTTGCCAGCTGTTAAATTCGCAAGATATCAAAGATAAAGTAAAATAGAGTGTGCGCGTAACGACACTGGTTTGCTTTGCAACCAGAGGCGACCTTAGATTAGATTGGGTGTTGGCGAATTGAATTGTTTCAGTGCGAATTGTAAGCGATAATTATTAATGTAATTAGAATTTGTGATATTTGTAATTGAAGTGAGTTTTTGGAGTTAAATAAAGTTGGTTAAGCCACGTCGTGCTTCATTAAATCTTTGAACTTACAAACTACTGTAACATAATATGTCCAAAGCAGATTTATTTTTCTAATTTTCAAATTTTTTCATAGGCGTTCAACGTGTTAATAATATAAATCGTTTGATACATAAAAATAGCTTACCTTCTTAAATGAAGAAACGCAGTATAACACAACTTCCTAAACTGTTGGAAATGTTCAGAATGAACTCCGCCCATGGCTTCAACCATTTCCTTACTTAACTTCATAGGCGGGGGTAAAGGTTTCGGATCTCTGCCTAAAATATATCCGAAATCGATATGGAATAGCTTGCCATCTCTAGTTAGCAGTAAGTTGTCTAAATGTCTATCTCCCACACCTAAGAGATAAGTTATGACACAGTAACCGGCGCAAGAGCGAACGTACGTGTCCATTATATCGGGGGCAATACCGTAGGGGCTGTTTTCTTGGGGATGATATTTTCTAAGTAGTTGTGTATGCTACCTATAATATAAATCGTTAATTAATAATTTATAATGGAGAGCAGAAATTAACAAGAAAATGAAAGATCGATTGTTTTCGATTTTTCATCGTCATCAGATTTTTTTTAAATTAACAAAAATTTAAATATTTAAAGAACAAAGAATACTCTTAAATTTGCACCTAGGATTTTTAAATTATCTAAAATATTAGTTCATATTTACCTTCTGTGGCCAAAGCCTCTGCAACTGTGACAGAATCTATGAACTGTACAAACCCATGCTTCGTACTCGTAGCGAGTACCCTGTAAGGCGTCAGTTTTAAATCCAAATTTTCTTTGCTCAACAGCTTATCCATTAGAGTGATCATCTGTAATATCAACTGATCCTGTCTTAGGTCATCTCCCAATTTAAATATCGCTACATATTCCTCGTTTTCAACCTTAAATGGAAATACTTATGTTAACTAAAATAAAAATAATAAGAATTTCTTAGAAAATATGTTCTACACGGCCACCGTCCAGTAGACTCGGGGGCAAAATAAACGCAACAGATTAATTATCATAATAATGTTACAAATATACATACTGGTGTATGACCAATAGTTCCAGCAAAACATTTATCTTTTTATTACTTACCGTCTTAAAATACAACTTGGAAGGCATCAACGCCGACTTAAACAAACTCGCTTGCTCTGGAATGATACCGTTGATCATGACATCCGGATCCAAGGGGAAAGGTATGGCTTCGAATTTCGAAAAATTGAATTTGAAACTGTCAGAATCGGCCAGAAGTTGCTGCAGCTTTTCGGCTTTCTTCTTGCGGTTCCCACTCTCTCTCGAAACTGTTTTCATTAATTTAACAAGTTTGTCGATGAACTTCTGTTGTTTGGTGAGAATGTGGCGTTTCTTTTGCATCGAATCTGAGCCACGGGCGAGGGTTTGCGAAAAGGTTTTCATCACAGTAAGGTACATGTTTCTAATTGCTTCCTAAAAAAAAAATAATTTAGAGACTCAGAAAGAATCGGAGCAAGTGAAAATAAGAGAAATGTAAAGAAATAATGAAAAATTGAAAAAAAGAAATGAGAAGAATAAAGTGAGAAGTGAGGAGAGATTAGGAAGGAGAAACGATCTAAAAACAACAGAAAAATTAGGGATAGGAAGAGAGGGAGACCAGAAAACACGATGAAGACATGAAAACGAGATTGTAAAGAATATATTGCAGCTAATAAGTTTAATATTGGATTTATTGTAATGAAAAAATGAAAAATGAAAAATGTTCCAAATTTTGGAAAGAATCTGTTTAGAAAGGAATATTGAATTATATATAAAATAAAACAACTTACATCAGCAACATCTTGCCGTAGATTAGTGTCCTGATCTTCACATTCCAGCAATAAGTACCAATAAAAATAATTAGCTAGGCTGAAATTCTTGCACGCCCTATGAATTAGGAATGAGGCCAAATCTTGGACCTCTTCTTCGTCGTTCATATGGCTCCTTAAAGTGTCTGTATTTCCGCTGTCGGTTATGGGATTTTGAAGAAGGTTTTCTGGAAGACCGCTGGGTTTTTGTTCTGGATTTTCGATGACGCTGTTGACGTTAGAAGCGGCGATTTGATCAGCTAAAATAGTATCTATAAAAGAGAAATTTATATGTATTTATGGGTTCCCCATTGCAGGAAAGAAGGAATTAAGACACCAGAAAATCCTTTCTTGAATCATTATAATTTCTATTGGATCTGATTTATACTGATATTTGATTATATTGATATCAACAAACATGTATGAATTAACACTAACCTCGTCTCCCATGCCAATTCGTATCCTCCACATTCACAAGGTTAACGTTTTAAAACACAAATGACAAATATCTATCTACTACAATAACTTAATCCAAAGAATTAACCAAACTGAACATTCCGAAGGTTTTTTCCATAATCCAAGCTGTCAATGATAATACTCTAAAACGCTCAAATGAGATAGGATGAAGAACATTTTCCACACTTTTTCCTTTGTCCATTATATCCCATCTTTTAAACACAAAATTACCTATTCAAAAGAAGTTTAAGAAATTTATAGGATAATTCGAAAAGCCACTCAGATAGAGAAACGTCCCAAATGTCTCAACAAAAGTGATGACGATTACTATTAACAAGCTGAATAAGCTTTTTAAATCACCACAAAACCTCGTACTGCTTCCATCATCCAGCTCATGTAAAATTCTTTTCCATTGTTATTCTCCAGTAGCCATCAAACCACAGCGATTATAATCCATAATATAAAAGTGGTGCCTCGTAAGGACCTATTAGCCTCACATTTGCTTTAAAATGTATAGAAAAAACTGGGAATAATGATATCACAACAGATATTCGCGTACAGAGACATCTACACCTATATAGTATATGTATCGCAGGAAAGTAGACAGAAGTCCAATTAGTGTAAGTAATTAATGATTTCAGCAAAAATAAATAGTTTGGAGTATCTTTTATATGTAGAAAGGACGTTTACCATCGCTAACATGGTATAGTTTTAAAAGAATTGAATGAAAAATGGTACATATTATGACAAATAAGTTGATGACACAAGTATTTCGTAGAAAAGTGCTAGATCTGTATACAGAGTAGGACACCTTTCCCATCTCAACAAGAGGTTCTCCACAAGGAGACGTTACTTCCCCCTGTTAAGTATAGTTTAAATTAACATCTCTGCACTTTGGGAAATTTGACGATATCCTGCCACAGATACACCGATGAAATCGTCAGTATTGCGAATGAAAAGTTTGAAAACATCATTTGCGACATAGCTTGTACATGCATAACATGTGCAACTAGAACATGCCCATGGATCAAAGACATCATTTCTAATGTAAATAGGAATGACATGAAATGGTATCCAGATGGCTCTTAAACAGCAGAAGGAACTGGGATTGGAGTATGCAGATCTAAAACTAAACACTTAGAAAACCTGGACAAAATGTCAAGCATCTATCAAGTGAAAAGCTCCAAAATGTTATGGAAATGCTTAGCAGAATTAGCAACTGCTTAGTGCTGGAAGAAATCGAGAGATAAGTAGACGGTAAAGATTAAAGCATTGAGAAGACTTCGAGGAATGAGAAAATCAAAAATACTTCTAGGGAACTATAACCATAGAAGACTTAAATATTGCATTAGTTTAAACAAAAAAGAACTCCGTGTTTTAACAAGAATACTTACAGGGTATTGTCACCTGAGACAGCACCTGAAATCATTTAAGGTAACAGATATGTAAGGATACAGATACTGTGAGATAGAAGAGGAAACCTATATACATCTACTCTTAAACTGTTATGCCCTAAGGAACTCCAGAACACATTATAGTTGAGCAAATAGATATAATATGTACCTAACCTAAAGCCTCTAAATATACAAAATTGTGCTGGTAACATAAAAATTGAGATCCACCATGCCAAAACCCTAATTTCAATAATGTAGGGTCAAATAGCTTTAATCTTTCATTTATACAAACATAGTTTACAGAAATTTTGCAAATTCAAACTTGAACATGCACAGCTTATTTATCTAATAATAATAGAATCTTTGATAATGTCTCTTGTCGCAACTATATCTATATTAAACATTTTACATACCTTGATTGTAGCTTGAAGATCTGTGCAACAAAGGTTCGTTAGTAATGGTACTGTTACTCTCTTTACTATCTTTCTTCTCTAGTTGCGCTTCTTTATCTTCTGTAAGAAAGTAAGCGTCGCGACCTGGTGAGATCCTTGTATAACCTAAAAAAAGTGTAGTTGTCATCAGTCTGATTTATCTATATACTTCTAGCACTTTATTTATTCCTATTATGAATATATGTAAGCCCTTCAATTCGTCTTTCGTTTGTGTTTTCCACATTGGAACTACAATTTGATTCTAATCTCTTGATATGTTTGAGGTATATGGCATATTTTAGTTTTAAAGAATGGTACACTGGTGGTCACTGATAGTATTATTACACATCAGCACAATATTTTCCCGAATGATACATAACAAAATAAAGAGTAACTATAAGGTTAACTGATATTTTGAAATGCTAAAATATAAACTTTGTCGGAAGATTTTGCAGAGTACGGAAACTAACACGACGAAGAAGGTTATAACTTTAAAAACTTTTATCCGTCCACAATCTGTATTTAGAAAAAAAATTGATTAAATTACAACTAAATGATGTTTCTTACCATCCTGAATGGTCTTAAAGTTTTCGTATTTCAAAGCCTGTACTAACTGTAAGAGATACAGCATAATCTCGTCGTCAGGCGCCTGCTGTAACCTCGAAATAGCATATCTGCGCACAGCGGGATGCGCGAAATTCGGACTCAGTAGTTCCAACGCATCTTCCACGTCCATCGGAGCCCACATCTCCATCATATGCAGAGCTTGCCGTACTTCGTTGTGCTGATTCCAATTGACGCACTTCAAAAACTTCGCCAAGGCTTTCTTCTGGGTGCTGAGGTAAAAGCGGTACTTCCAGACGTGATCTTGTTCTTCGTTGGAAAGGTTTTTGGTAGGGGGATAGGAGACGATGGTGTTGAGGATGTCGCGCATTGTTGCGTTTGGTTTGGCATCTTTATCGCAATGGCCGCTTCGCAGAGATCTGGCGAGTTTGTGATGTTTGCTCTCGACAAGATTTTCCTGAAAACAATAAAAAATAACAGATATAATGAATGATATATAACAATCACCGAAAGTGGTCCAATCATATCCTATATAAAAGTTGAAATAAAGCGGTAAGTAGTTATTGCGGTATATTATTGAATGTATAATTAATAGGAACAAATTTACGCATACCCCAAAACCTGATCAGTATAGAAGGAGGTCGTCATTTGCATATGTGGAGGTCTGGAATGGGAAAATTACATATGGAAAAATTACTACTGATAGGCATAATTTTCGACAGGCATTAAAGACAATTAGGATCACTTTCTTAAGAATGAGAGTTAGCGAGATTTTTGAGGGAAAAAAGATAATCAGTTGTTTTCCAAGTGTGCAAGGCGAACAGTCATTGTTCTCTGGTGGTTCCCGAGAGGTAATAAGCAGTAGAAGTGAATGTTAGTGAGTTTTTCGTGGAGTTAGTGTATCTAACAGAAGCTGATCCAGTAAAATATTGTAAGTTATATTTTTCTACTTATATTCCAAGAGTCACTGTTCAGGCAAGAACGAGAGATTCAGTTTATCGAGAGGAGAAGAGGCGAGCATCATTTGAACAATACGTGCATTTGGAGGAGATCATTAAAGACGATAGGCTCGCAACAATTTGTTGTAAGATTGTTGATTACCTAGGGGGCTGCTAAGAATAGATAGTGTAGGCTACAAGGAACAAGGATTTGGACAACTCATCATCAGAGAGATAGTTTTACTATTCGTCAGTTTTTTTTTATTAACAACACAATTTTTACAACTGCTTTAGAAAACATAGGAATATTTTGATCAGGAGATATAGAACAACAATTTTGATTTAAAATTTTAATTTATATTGTATGTACCATTAATTTTTGAAGGTTCACGTACGTAGAACAAAATTTTGATAATCATTATATGAGATATTTTTATTGAAGAAATTTTTTATTTTATTATAATATATTTTTATTTCAATGTTGTATCATATATGTTTTTTATTATTCCGGTATTCTTTGGACTTTACCTACCATATGTAAAGCATAGATATTGAAGCTAGAGTATAACCCTGATATAAGAGAATTAAATAGTGTGATAGAATCATAATTGCATCATTTAAATAAGTTTAATTGATTAATTAATTGCTTGGCGCACCTCAGACTTTTAATATCACATTAATATATATACCCGGTATTTAGGCGGCACACGCCCTTCAGGGATCTATGGAGGAGTATCCTCTTGCCGTACTGCTCCACCATAGGCCGATCAGATACCAGCATATTCTAGACTAAGCTGCAGATTCATTTAAATTTTAAACTGCTGCGTTAGCTTTTTTTGTTTTCTGTACACCGAGCTGGGGATTGAACTGACATCTCCCGCAGTGAAGCGAATGATAAGCCAGCCGCCCAGCCCGCCTGGCTATTCGATCGACCCTTCACTACATCATGTTGTTTAAAAACAATATAAAATAATATACTAAAAATAAACATTTATTTTAGTAGCAAATAAAAATGAATCAGTTTGTGCATGACGTTGTTCACTAATAATGCAGTATTAATCAGCGTAAGTAGACTAAACAATAATAGATGGTGTTGGTTACCAGTATTGTGTCTTCTTAAATAGTTAGTGTACACGATTAGACACTGACACTTACTTCAGATTGTTTTTGTTAGTTTTACCAAAGTAATTTGAGTAAACATATTTTACGTGTTATTGATAAGGTAAGTAAAATGTGTGATTAATAAAGTACTTCGCATATTTTTCTAATAATGATGTTTTTGTTGTTGTTGTTTACAAGCAACATCATGCATATCTATTTTTATCTTTTAGATAAAACATCATGAGTTGGAAAGACAAAAAGCCGCTGACTGAAAAGGAACTTGTCGATGTAATAGATGGGCTTTGGAATATCGAAGATGGGTTTGGATGAGAATGCTGTAGACACTAATAGAGTTAATAGCACTGTAGAGCTCCAGAAACTCTGGTTTACTCCAAGGCTAAAGGTATACTTATTTTACAATTAATTTGTGACCAAAAATACTAGATGTTTTTTTTTATTTTTAGACATATGGAAAAAAAATTGAACTTATCCGAACAACAACTGGAATTTAGAGGAAATCAGAGTCTTCCAAATCATATCCTACAACTAGAAAGTCCCTATGAATATTTTAATTTATTCTTCACAGATAGTCTTTTAGACAAAATTGTGGAGGAGTCAAATTTATATACGATACAGCAGAATCCTAACAAAGGACTGAATATTATACGAAGTGACATAAAGCAAGTTATTTTAATTACAATATATATGGCCCTTGTTCATTTGTATAATATGAGGGCATATTAGTCAGAAGAAATTGGCTTTAAGAAAATAAAAAGAGCTATATCAGTCAACAGGTACGAAAAATTGTACATTTCAATAATAACGAGAATCCCTTTTCCCGTGACAATCCAAACTATGATAGTTCATAAAATTGCACCAATAATAATTAACTACCTCAATGAAGCATTTTCAAACGGAATTCCATTGGAACAATATCTGTCCGGCGATGAGCAAATTTGTTCTACCAAAGCTAGGCACTACATGAAGCAATACCTACCAAACAAGCCACATAAATGGCTTGTTTTATTTTTTTTTTAAATTTTGAAATTTTTTGTGTTATACAGTGGCTCTGGATATGCGTATTGTAGAGAATTATATACAGGACAAGAGAATGAACAAAAAACGAGACCTGCTTTTAAACCTGACCTCGGACCAACTGCAAATGTGGCGAGATTGGCTAGAATTATTCCTAGGAATATGAGTCAGAAGAAGCTTTATTTTGACAATTATTACTCTTCTATATCTTTCTAAACACGGTATTCACAGTTTAGGAACCGTAAGAAGGAATAGGATCCCAAATTGTAAGCTTCCGGGTGAAAAAACTATGAAAAATGAAGAAAGAGGAACTAATTTAGAGTTTGTTGGTACTTGCGATGGTGTGGAAATAAATACTGTGGAAAGACAACAAATTAGTAACGTTTCTATCGACTTTCGCCGGCAAAATTCCTAAAACTATTGCCAAGAGATATGACAAGAAAGAAAAGAGAACACAAGAATTAAGTTGTCCACTGTTGTACAAGAAGTTATACAAGAATACGGTGATTACTTGATGGACAGCAATATGGGACGGAATAAACTTATTCTAAGGAGTAAAACATGGTATTTTAGAATATTTTACCATCTACTAGATCTAAACGTTTCCAACAGTTGGATTCTTTACAAGAATTCAGCTGAACATAGAACTGGCGCGAAGCTTAAAATCACACACGCTCATTTTAGAACACAACTGACAGAAGCATTATGCAGGACAGAAAAGCGATTCACAATTGCAAAAAGGGGAAGACCTTCAGCAAGTAAAACTGAGGAGGCGCTACAAATAAAGAAGAGAAAGGGCCTAGCACAGGTTATGCCAGTAAAGGATGTTCGAATGGATGGAATTCACCATTGGCTTGTATGGTTAAAAAAACAAATAAGGTACAAATTTCCACAGTGCCATGGCTATACACATTAGTTGTCTGAAAAGTGTGGTGTAGCACTTTGCTTCGATAAAACGAAGAATTGTTTTAAAAATTTTCATTTTTCCTAAATATTGTTTTAAGTATATCCTTATTTACATAATGTTATTCATAAACAACACTTGTATTTTTCCAAAATAAAAAAAAAGTCGTTCAGAATTTTTTTCCTGTAAAAATAATGACATTCCAGTCTGCAAATAAAAAATCATGCAGTGAAGGGTTAAATAAAATTTGTATCAACTCGACGGTAAAAATTCGATCTCTTTGATTAGAGTGTCCCATCGAGAAAAATCAAGAGTGCAGATTTCGTATGCAATTTTTGTATTTTGCCGCAAATGAAGTCAGTTTTTATAAAGGTGGTAAAAGAATACACGTTGCGCGATTTTTTCCATTGTTTATAATTCTACAAATTATACAATATAAAACATACAACACAAAAGTTCTTAGCACACTTTATTAATAGCTGAAATAAACTTACTGTTACAGTCTTCTTTAATTGAAAAAAGTATAATATTCTTTATTTTTTCATTTTTCTATTTTCATTTTCGTTAAAAAATATTAAGTATTTTATGTTAAAATATTGCACATGAACTTCCATTTAATAACAGCCAATTCCATAAATAATGACGCTGATTTACAAGTGAGTTTTAAGCGAAGCCACCGTTTAATTCGAATTTTTGATATTACTATTCAATACATAGATAATTTCTAAAGAGATCATGATTTTTAATGAGCTATTGTACAAAATCTCGACATAAACCGGAAGCATCAATTAAAAAGTATCGGGTTTTTAACCCACAAACATACTTACGTTATGTAAAAAATCGATACAAACATATGTCCGTCCTGTTTATTTATGTATTAAAAATTCAGATACGATTTCATTACAAATTAACTAAAATTGTTTTTGTTTGAAAATAATTCCAGATGTTTACTACATTTTTAAAATAAAAATTGTTATTTTGAATGTTTGATAAAAATCACTTCAAACAAAAATAAATAATCAATCAATTTAGATAATTAAAAATTATAATTAAAGAAACTTTATTTTTTCAAGTTCAAATCCATTTTTTTTTATTTTTCAAGTGGGTCGGAAATTGTTCTTAACAAATAACGTACCAAAAAAAGAATATTTCTAAACGCTTCAAGTAAAATTTTTTATGCCTATCTCATGAATATAAATATTTTTTCGAAAAATGCTTACTTAATGAATTTTTTGTTAAAAAAATTGCTTATTTAGTGATTTGTGAGATACACATACTTGATACTATTAGTAGTAATCAGCTTATTTTGGTATGGACACCTTCAAAGAATGGAAGAAAGTAGGTGACCGAAAATAGTGAGACAGTGGACTTCCATCGGATGGAAGAAACGATGACGACCAAAGAGGACCTCGTAGAGGCATAGAATGCATGAACAATCTTAAAGATATATCTGGATTATTTTACTGCCACATAGGCTGT